GCTCATTTACCAGATCCTGCCCGCTTGATCTCAGAAATGTCTTTGGAATCTGGCCATTTCTTTCATTTCCACTGTTACAATCCAGGCCTTTATCTCTTACCTGGACCACTATAGCTGTTCTCCCAGATTCCAGTCTTTTATCCACAGAATTATGGATAAAATTATGCCAGCAGAATTACTTTCCTGTAAAACAAATCTCATCATGTTACTCTCCTGTTTTAAGCACTCCTTTTGGCTCTCTTTTTTCCTATAGAATTAAGTCTAAATTCCTTAGATGACCCACTCTTTCAGAGATCAGCCTGACCTCAGCTCTCATTGTTATTTCCCACCCTTCCCTCTCTCAGACCTCATGTTCTGAGCCACTTGGTTGTTCATGCCCCAACAAAAATGTCAGACCCTTTGTTGATTCCCTGTACTTAACAATACATATGCAGTTCCCCTTTGCCTGGCAAATTCATTTAAGACTCGTCCCCTCACTGAAGCATTCCTTGCTTCACCTAGTAATTTACTCATGTGCTCCCTCACTGTGCCCATGGTACTTTGCCCATAGTTCTGTTAAAAGCACTTACTGTATACTATATCAATTTATGTAACAACAGCTAACATTTTATGAGCCCTTACTATGTGCCATGTACTTTGCTAAGTACATTTTATGTCTTACTTCACCTCACAACAGCCCTGGTAGTGCTGTGAAGTACTATTAAGAACCCTATTTTACAGATGAAGAAAATGCTTAGAGATATTGAGTAACACCAGTTTCACACAGTTGGTAGATACAGCAAGAGAATTAGAACCCAGCTCTGATCTGTCTTTAGAGCTTATGCTCTTAACCATTATGCTCCGCTAGTTGGCATCTGAAGGTCTGGCACTATGTCTTCATTTAGTCCACAAATATTTATTGAGTGTCTACTGTGTATTTATCATTGTTCTAAGAGTTGGGGATATAGTAGTGAACAGAAGAAACAAAAAATATCTATTGTTATGAAGCTTATTCTAGTGGTGGGAGACAGAGAAACAAAACAAGTAAATTTTGTAATATATTAGAAGGTGATAAATTTCCTGGAGAAAAATAAAGCAGATAAAGCGGGGTGACAGGAGGTAAATATGGTGGACAAGCAAAGCTTCACTGAGAAGTCATTTGAGGAGAATCTGAAGGAGGTGAGAGAGGGATCATCTGGCCCTCTGGAGGAGAGGGACATTCCAAGTGGAGGCAAGTGAAACTGTGATAAGGCAGGAGTCCTGGTATGTTCAGGAAATAGCACTGAGGCCTGGGTAGCTGGAGCCAGTGAGCAAGGAGATGAGTAGTAGAAAATAAAGTCACGAAAACAAAAAAAAAAAAGAAAATGAAGTCACGGAGGTGTAGATGGGCCAGTCATAAGGTGTAGGACACTGCAAGGACTTTGGCTTTTGCTCTGAGAAAGAAGCCAATGGAGGGTTTTTGAACAGAGAATGACAATCTGACATGTTTTATTCTGGCTTTTAAATACTGAGAATAGATTATAAACAGATAAGAAATATTTATTTTGGTATTTCAAGTAGCATACCATATCTGGTATATAGTGTTAATAAATATCAGAAGGCTTACAAGTTTTCAAAGCAATCCAACTTTAAATGACATTTTTAGATAATCTGGATATTTGGATATGGATTTGATATTTGATGATACAGATGGTATTTTTTTAGGTATGATAATGTAATGGTAGTTAAATTTAAAAGATTACTAGTTAGAGATACATATAGAATATTTACTGATAAAATGAATGATGTTTAGATTTTGCTTTAACTGCTCCAGCAAAAATAAGCAAATACGTAAAAGTGGGAGGATTGAAAAAACAAGGTGAATAAAATGTTGATAATCATTAAAACAGGTGATGGATGCATGGGTTCATTATGCTGTCTACTTCTGTGTATATTTGAAATGTTCATAATAAAGTTTTATATATACATTATATTTACATAGAGATATAAATATCTCTCTACATATAGATATCTAGAGAGATATAGATAAAATATATAACATTTCACTTGGTAATTCTACCTTTACAAATCTATCATAAAGAAATGATCATGTATGCCGGAAGATGTAAGAGGATTTTCATATTAATGTTCTCACAGTAGCTAAAATTTAAACACTGAATTTTTAATAGTTGGAAAATAAAAACTATGGTATAATCCGTACAGTATAATACTATGCAGTCCTTAAATTCTTTTCAAAGACTACTTGATGACATTTAAAATATTCTAAATAAATTGTGAAGTGAAAATAGCAGAATAAAAAAATAGATATAATATTATCCTAATCTTGACTAAAAATATCTATAAATATAGATTTTAAAATTTTAAAGAAATACACTAAATTATAACTAGTAGTTATCACTAGCTGGTAGGGTTTTAGCTCATTTTTTTATTTGATTCTTTATACTTCTCTGTATTTCTAAAATTTTTTTAATAAATTTACCTGATTTTATTAAGACAAACAACAGAAGATACTATAAAAGTCTATGGTTTAAGCCTTTGACCCTTCTATTAGGATAAACAAATAATAAAATAGGGATAAAGGTTCATGCTCCAGGATGTTTGTTGAATTGCTATTTAGCAAAAAATTGGAAATGTCTAAATTACCAACAAACTGGAAATGATTAAATTATGGTGCATCCATATGCAGCTAGTAAATGTTTCCAAAGAGTGAAATACAGAAAGTGCTCATGTAAAATAAAAAGGAAGATACTGAATCATGTGTACAATGTGATTTCAATTATGTTTTTAAAACATGAAAGATTGAAGATGGCCAAAATTTTAGCAGATTATAGGTGGTTTTAATTTTAGTTTTTCTACTTTCTATGTTTTCTGAATTGTCTATACTGAGCATGTATATTACTATATAATCAAAAATACATTATTTAAGTATTTTGAAAATATGTAGAGTACAATGAAAAGAAAATGGATGATTAAGGAGGAAAAAGAGATCTGGGATCACAGCTAGGGGAAATATGCTGAGGAATTAATAAAATGAAAATTATTATTAAACACAAAGTTGAATTTTATGTAACAGGGCAAGAAGCCTGTTTAGTTTTGTCTTCCAGCAGTGCTCACTAATCTAGCAGTAAAATTAGGGGAAGTAGCTGTAATCATCTAGGATGAGGAGTGTTTGGCAAAGGGTCAGGGCATCTGTGTTGCTGGTCTACCTCCACAGTGAATGTGAAGATGTTTTTATAAACTGTAAAGTTGTTAACAGATAGCAGTGGTAGTTTTTATCTATCCCCATGGCCACTGTCCTATTTAAGCCCTCGTTATTCTTACTTAAACTTACTGCTTTTCCTGCCCCGACTCTTTCCAAACCATCTTTTACATTATTGCCCAGGATTCTCTTTCTAAAGCCCCAGTCAGATTGTGTTATTTTTCCTTTTCAGAAACCTGTGTTGGCTCTCCATCACCTTAGAATGTCTGAATTTTTTTTTTTTTTTTTTTTTTTTTTTTTTTTTT